GGGGGGGGGGGGGGGCGACCTGACCTGACACACGCACATACACACACACACACATACACACATACACACACATATACACACACATACATACACACATACACACACATACATACACACACACATACACACACATACATACACACATACATTCAACCACACGCGCACACTCACTCGGACACACTCAGAGACACACACTCTCTCTCTCTGTCTGTCTGTCCGTCTGTTCCTCACACACACACACACACACATACACACACACACACACACATACACACATACACACACATATCATAGTGTCCACATATGTCCACCTTGTACTGCAAAACAGTCTGCCGCGGGAGCAAGTGCAAGCACGAGCGAGTCCGATCGGGGACGGTTGCAGCCATGCCGGGCCTGCCCTCGGCCTGGGTCCGACCCCATCTGCTCGCCATGGCCAGGCCATCGTGGAGGAAGATCGCTGACCACGGCCTCGATGTCGCCTTGGCCGACGCAGGCGTGTGTGTGGTCGTCAATCTGCAGCAGCCCGGAGAGCATGCGTTCTGCGGTGATGGCCTCGACCCGCACTCGTCAGCTGGCTTTGCCTACGATCCCGACGTCCTGGCTGCTGCCGGCATCACCCACATTGCCTCGGGATGGGACGACATGGGTGTGCCACGCATGGCGGTCCTTGCCCGCTCCGTCTTCTTCATCGACTACGCCGTCAACGTGCTCGGCGGCCGCGCCGCCGTCCACTGCCACGCCGGCCTCGGCCGCACAGGCCTCGTCTGCGCCGCCTATCTGGTCTACTCAGAGCATCTCTCGCCGCAGGCAGCCATTGCTGCCGTTCGCGCCGCCAGGCCCAAAGCCATCCAGACTCGCAAGCAGGTGGCGGCCGTCAAGCGCTACGCGCGCGCTCTGGCCGACGCCGCAGCCGTCTTTGTCCCCTCGCCAGCGCTCGTTGAGCTCTGGCGAATCGACCACGCCACCCACTGCACCACCGCAAGCGAGTCGTGCACACACTGGGCGCATGCCGCGCCGAAAACTCCGCACACAGCCGCCGGCGTCGCGCTCCCGCAGCCCGCCTCGCTCCGAGACCTACTCCAGAGGCAGGAGCTCATCGTTCATGGTGAGGAGCGCCGCGAGCTCCGCTATGGCCCCAAGGCCGTCCTCCTTCTTCTCCGCCGCCTCGAGGCCGAGTCGCGAGCCGATGCCGCCCGCGCGCTGAGCGACGTGGCCGCACGTGTGCTCCCGGGCACTGTGCGACGAACCGTCGCCGACGCCGGATCGTGGCTCTGGCCAGAGTACAGTCTGCAACAGAGCCTCAACGCCCGGTTGTGGCATGCTGTCGATGAGGTGCCGCTTGTCACGGTCGTCTCGACGCTCGTCTCGTGGCTTCGCTTCTCGCTCGCCCACCCACTCGTCGAAGCCACATCACTCAATCTCGGTGTGTACTCGCCCGACTGCGTTGGCCTCGCCGTCCATCTCATGTCTGCCTTTGACCCGATCCTCGCGGCCTGCACGCCCGACGAGGCCCTTGCTGCCGACAAATTGCTCTTCTGGGCACTGGCCCACGGCGAGGCACACGTGCCGCTCCGCCTTGCCGCCCTCAGACAGGCCATCCGCGATGCTGCCGCCACCAAGCCCAAACCGGTCATTGTCTACACTCCGCGTGCTGGCGCTACAGAAGGCCTCGTGAGCGACCTCCTGTTCCAAGCCGGTGCTACCGGGCCGTCGTCACAGGCAGCCAGTTCGGTGGCGGTCAACGACTCGTCCATCTCCGAGCCTCTCTCCGGCAGCGATTCGTCCGACTCGGGCAGCGACCTACCGTCACCGCGATCGCGGTCGCAGGCCGGTACGCCCATCCCACATCGCCCATACTAAATCCTCGGACCCTCAGATGTGCTGCGTCATGCGCTCTGCCACAGCGCCCAGCGCTTGAACGTCGAGGCGCCAGCAACGAGCGGCGGCTGGACGACGATGGTAGACTTGTCGTCAGCAGAGTAGCCGGCCTCGCCAAGCAGCTTGCGACGCTTGGCGTGCGCAGAGGTGACGGCTGCAGCGGCGGCGCGGATGTTCAGCAGCAGCGGATTGGAGGTCCAGTCGTCGGCGATGGCTTTGCGCTTGCGGCGCGGTGTACGTGACGGCGCGGTATCGGGGGCCACGCCGCGCGGCTGGATGACGGGCGTCGTCGTGCGGCGCTGGGCCGGCTTGGTCTTGCCGCCACGGCCGCGAGCAGCACGAGCCGACTCAAGCATCTTCTGGGCCCGCTGCTGCTTGCGCTTGCGCGGCGTTGTCTTGGTTGTGGCGGACGACTTGGGCTTGCGGCCGGTCTTTCGGGTCTTGATCGGGTTCTCCGCGACGGCGGCGGCGACCTCAGGCAGGGTCTCGCTAAACGAGTTGAGCGCGGCTTTGAGCGCCTTGGGAGTGACGTCCACAGCGGTGGCGAGCGAGCGGACGCCGGCAGTGTCGAGGGTGCGGCCCTGAGCGAGGGTGGCGGCGGCGATGGCAGCGCCAGCCACAACGGGCTGGCCCAGCTCGTTGCGGACGTCTTCGGGCGAGGCCTTGGGCATCTTGCGGATGTAAGCATCCTTAAAGGCGGCGAGCAGGGCGACGGCCGGAGCGGAAAGATCTTTGGCCAGGCCAGCGGCGGCGATGATGGTGGGCATGCTGAGCGGACGGGAGAGGCCGAGGACGTTGCGAAGACGGGTGAGGGCGGTGATGGCCTTGCCACGGGTGCGGAATCCACCAACTTGGGCCAGACGAGCATGGGTAGGCGCCGCCGCAGGAGCCACCTCCTCGGCCGCCGCCGCCACCACCACTGCCGCCATGCCCATCAACGTCCCGTCCTTGACCTTGCTCTGCGCCGCCCGGCTCAACTCACGGGCACGGGCCACCACAGCCTGTGACGTGCTTGGTCCGGTCTCGGCAGGCAGTAACTGCTCTGCTGCCCGTGCAATGAGGTTGCCCAGCGGTTGGCGCTGTGAGGGCATGGCTGTGGAGACGGATGTGTGTGTCTGGTATGGGA